ACTTTATGCGCATATACCTGGCGCATATCCATGATGACATCTCGCGAGGGATACCAGAGACTCGCGCAGAAACGTCGGCCGAAGTCGTTGTCCGGACCTGGACTTGGGGTACATGGACGGGGTCCACATCGCGGCCATCGCCGCATTTATTTCTGTCAGCAGTAGAGCATGCACGTTTTGCGTATTCCTGCATGCAACATTCGGTTTGCAATGTTGCAGTAGTGGCGAATGAGACCACAGCGATATCCTCACAACCTGCCCCCAAATGACCTGATTTTGGCTCATGTTGGGTGGTGCTTTACTATCGAGCAATATCCGGAGCCATTTACATTGCGAAGCTACCATGGGGGTGAGATCCTCGAGACCTCACTCTTCCCGAGGGATCGGGATGGTACTGCGACTCGGAGGACACGATGCACTGGAGGCCCCCGCTAGCTTAGGCTTGATATGATGCAGGCAGCCTGAAGCTGCAAGGTATAGGCACCGCGGGCCGGTGTTGTACAACAGCCTACGATGGACCGCCGCCACAATGAGTTCTATGAGTATGATGTACCATCCAGCGGCTGTGTCCTAGCGGCGTTACTCAGCGCTTGATTATTTTACTTTTATATTCTAAACTTCAATTAATCTTTGCTGGCGGCGTACTGACATTGCTGTTTCTAGTCGCGGGCCGTATCTCCCGCGTCGACGCCTCGTAACGAACCAAACAACCCTTTCACGACATTTACTGGACTTACGCAGCCGTCTACGCCGGCGCCGAACAGCTCCTCAACCTCGCTTGTCGACTCTCTCGCTTCCAAGGCAACCAATGCCGCCAGCGGTGTCGTGAATGCTGCAGCGAACGTACTGAGCGGCAACGAGCCAAACGGCGCGTCGAAGAGGCATCAGACGACGCATGCGAACAGCGGTGTGGGCCAGCCCAGGGTGCAGCGGCGCACGTCGCGTAGCTCGACGGGACGGACCGCAAGCAGATCGCTCTCGGGGACGCGTCACGACACGAATGGGGGTAACCGTAACGTCAAGTGGCACCTCGAGAGCAACCCGCATTGCAACGGCGGGCTGAAGAACGCCGTGGAGAGCGTCGGGGCGCGGCTGAAGCGCAAACTGTGGGTGGGGACGCTCGGCGTGAATACGGACGGTTTCCGAGAGAGCCTGAAGCGGAACATGGAGTGGCGGATGCGGGACGAGAGCGGGAGCGTGCCGGTGTGGATCCCGGACGGGGAGTTCGCGGGATGCTACGACGAGTACTGCCACCAGGTGCTGTGGCCGTGCCTGCACTACGCGATCCCGGACGCGCCCAAGACGAAGAGCTTCTACGAGAGCGCGAGCTACAAGCAGTACGAGGCGGTCAATCGCAGGTTCGCGGAGGCGATCGCGAGCGTGTACCAGGACGGAGACATCGTCTGGGTGAACGACTACCACCTGATGCTCCTCCCGGCGATGATTCGCCAGAAGATTCCCAACGCGCCGATCGGGTTCTTCATGCACGTCGCGTTCCCGAGCTCAGAGATCTTCCGCTGCCTGAGCGTGCGCGAGGACTTGCTGCACGGCTTGCTCGGCGCGGACCTGATCGGGTTCCAGACGGCGAACTACGCAAGACACTTCAGGCAGACGGTCAGCCGGATCCTGACAGCGGAGGCGCTGCCGAAGGGTATCCAGACGGAGGAGCGTTTCGTGGATGTTGGCGTGTTCCCGATGGGCATCGATGTTGGGCACCTCAAACAGGAGAAGTGAGTGATGTGTGTTGTTCGGTCCCAGCAGACGGCTAATGTGAGGCCAGGCGTAACCCCGAGGTTGCGGACTGGGTTAGCTCACTGCGCCAACGATATGCCGGTATGAAGATCATCGTCGGCCGCGATAAACTTGACAACATCCAGGTATGCGCATCCTCCCACTCCTTTAGACAACACGCTAATCGTCCTTTGTAGGGTGTTCGGCAGAAGATACAGGCTTTCGAGACTTTCCTGGACAAGTACCCCGATTACCAGGGCAAGGTCGTCCTCATCCAGGTGGCGCTTCAGACCACGGAGGAGAACGAGATGCAGGGCGGCGTCGCAGACGTCGTGTCGCACCTCAACTCGCGCTTCTCGACACTGACGTATCAGCCCGTGGTCTTCCTGCACACCCAGGACTTGACTTTCAGTCAATACTTGGCACTGCTCACCGTCGCGGATGCATTCATGGTGACAAGTCTGCGCGAGGGTATGGCGCTGCGGACGCATGAGTTTGTGGAGTGCCAGGAGGAGAGACACCGGCCGTTGATCCTCAGCGAGGTGAGATACCTTTGTTTTTGAAACGAGCATCATGCTGAGCAATTCGTAGTTCACGGGCTCCTACAGCTACAGCGGATTCCGGTCTTGTATCCCTATCAACCCTTGGGACAAACGAATGACCGCGAAGGCGATCCATCAGGCATGTAGGCTTTGTAATGTGTCGGAGCTGTCTTCTGACATGCAGCGCAGGCCCTGACCATGAGCGACGAGGAAGCGACTTCCCGCTGGGAAGACCTCCACAACCACGTCGTGACTCAATCCGCCCAGGCCTTCGTCACCTCCTTCCTCGTGCGTTGCCTCCGAGCGAATATCGATCACTTGCAGGGCGATGCCGCGGAGGTCGCCTCGCTCGATGTCTCGCTCCTCCTCCCACGGTATCGCCACAGCACGAAGCGGCTGCTCCTCATCGACTTCGAGGGCACGATGTGGACCCGCGACATGCGCAAGCTTAGCCGGGCGGAGTTCAACCCACCGAAGGAGGCGATCGAGGTACTCAACCGGCTTGCGGAGGATCCGAAGAACGAAGTTTGGTTGCTGAGCGGCTTGCCTGTGAAGGGCATGCTGGATATCGTCGCAGAGATGGCGCCGAAGATTGGTATTGTGTACGTGGACTGGTTGATGGAGAAGGTGGCAACGATGCTAAACGTACTCTGACGGGCAGTGCTGAGAACGGATGCTACATCAAGACGCATCCTCCGCGCGGTGGCCAGCCGACGTGGGTCAACATGGTTGCGAACTTCAACCTGACGTGGAAGGCACCATGCCTGGAGATCCTCAACTATGTGAGTCTGCCGAGTCGCAACGACTGTCACAATCGTTGACTGAAAGCATGCAGTTCACGGAGCGCACCCCAGGATCGTATGTCGAGGAGCGCGAGGCGTCCGTGGTCTGGCGCTTCTGGACTGACCCTGACGAACCGCAGACCGACCGCCAATGGGCCCGCCGCCAAGCGGGTGAGGCGCAGAACCACATCTTCGACAGTCTGGGCGAGCGATACGGCCTGCGCATCATCCCAGGCGCGAACTCCTTCCTCGTACTCCCCAACAATATCTCGCGCTCGACCGCCGTCGGTGCGATACTTTCTCCTGGCGGCCCCGCGCACTCCGCGCTGGCGAGTCGCGCAGCGTGGCTCGCGCCTGAGGCGACGGAGCCGGAGAGCGTGACCGACTACGACTTCGTGTTGGCCGTCGGGAAGGACCAGAAGCTGATGCGGCGGCTGAACGAGCTCGAGAACGCGGAGACCGTCAGCATGACCAGCAAGGGTACCGACGCGAAGTGGAAGCTCGAGCCGGAGCGGGTCCTGGGTGTCCTCGAGAGGTTTGTGGAGGTGAAGTGAGTGTGCGGCTGGGAGCGCGCGTGACCCGACGAAACACGAAGTAGCCAATTGTCTCTGTAGCAACGAGTCTTTCTATGTGCTTTTTGTAGATGGTCGGCGCACCGATATGCGCCGCGTTATGTAGCATCCAGAGGGAACTGTATAGTATTGAGGCAGACGTTCACGCATGTGCACCACGCATTATACACGTTAGTTAATAATACAGATTGGTCACTACACTGTTGAAAGCATGTGCTTCCTGCGTCATACTACTAGGGTCGCTACACTTAGTGTGATTAAAGGCATCGCAAGAGGGCTTTGGCTCACCACACTCTACAGTCATGGTTGATTGCGATCGTTTCGACTGGTCTCTGAGACCGACCCTTGCGAGTCATGATTCACTGACCTTTTAGACAAGCCAATCGTATTTATATCACGGGCAGGCTTGAGGAGGCTCACCGTGCTGAGCAAGAAATGCAGCTCGCGAGCGAGTTATTTGCACGCCGGCGGTCTGAGCAAATGATAGCGCACTGGGCTTCTCCACTTTGACCGTAACAACATCAATGGTCTCCGAGAAACGACAAATGATGCGGATGGTCTCCAGGACAAACTTCTCTAGCGTGAGATATGAAGATGAACCGATATCCTGGGGAATAACTGCATCAGCCGTCCATTGTGACCATAGGGTAAGTGTATGAATACGTTGGAAATGACAGACGATAGCGCAGCGTAATCAACCGGTACGCCATGACCAGGCTTCTCGTGGACGAAGATTGTGGTGATCACCCGCTGTTTTGCCTCTCGCTCAGGCGGGTTAACGCCAATGATCGTAGACAGAACGAGGTCTTTGATTGTAACACGGACACTTTCTGTTCCTTCTATTACTTCCTCCGTGTACGATGTGGAAATTTCGAGGATGAATTCTCCCGCAAGTGGGATCAGTTTCTCGGACTTGACGGCAACCACCGCGCGCTGGACAGCGACTACGCCTGTGAGAGCGAACGCGGTCTTTGCGACGGCCCTCGCAAAATCCCTCAGTCCATCAAATTCTTGAGCATTCGGTCCGTATACAAGGTCCATGACGCCCTTGCAGAGTTCACCGTAGTGCACTGAGTCGCGGACGTCATCCGTAGCTCCGGCTTCGTTGAGATACTCGGCTTGCAGGTGAAGATGGACAGTGATAGAAAGAGGCTGCGGGCGTACTCGCCCCCACCAATCTTTCCCAATTGTCGGGGAGGTGGAGAGGGAGTTGATGAAGACGGTATCGTGCGCCAGAGGGTCTTGGGAAGACATGGCGGTCGGTGTGAACGAGAGGGTTGCCTTTCTAGTCGATTCAAGTGCCGATCAACGCGTCCACGTGGCCGAAGGATTCAACTCACTAGCTGTGCGTTCGACGCGTCACAAATTGTCAAGCAAACGTGGGGTAGTGGTAACCTGGGTCGTTGCCATTCCCTTGTCGACCCGCCCCGAGTTCGATTCTCGGCGTTTGCATTCGGTACAGAACTACATGGTTTTTTCCTCCCTGGACAGCGTCGGCAATTTATGATTAAGCAGCGACCACCAGCACTATTGCTAGCAAACTTTTAAAACGAGTGCCGTTATGGGTTGCGGTTGCGAGGAATCAAGGTGAAGAGCTAGATGTAGAGTCCGAGATAATACCAATGGCAAACGTGTCTGGTAGTACGGACGTGTGCGAATTCAAGGCAGTTGTGTCGTTACTCGGTACTGTCCAATACAGCGGTAGGGATACGACGGGAATGTCGCAACTTCCGGACGCATTGCCGGCGGTCCGAAGACAAATGGAATTGACGCTAGCACACGCCACGAAGCTTTCGGACATTATCTTTGAGTGCGACAATAATACACAGGCACCAAGTCAGAATTCAGAGGCCACGGCGATTTGGAACCTAATCATATTCTGGCTGATACGCACTCAGGGGAAAACTCAGGGCCTCTCCGAGGACGAGCACCGTTCCCACTCCACCCTGGAGTCCTGAGCACACGCGGACAGCTATTCCCGGGATGTCAAGATGGACATGTCGGTCCGTGCAGAATCTAGAGCAAAGAAGCCGGCTGGAACCGACTGGTTCCATGGGCGAGATAGGGCTCACTGTGAGAGCTAAGTGTATCTGGACATGCATACAGGCTCGTACCACTTGCGCCACCTTCGCTGGAGCAGGAGCCACGAAGTCGTGGGCAGGCTCAGCCGTCATCAACGTCCGAAAAGGTTCCGTAACTGTACACGGACTTCGTAGTTGAGCCGTCCGCCCTAGCATGCAAGCCGATCCAGAATTTGCGTCACGAATTGCTTGCATTTAGTATGAATTTGCAGCAGAGACACAAGGTAGTATCGAGTCGCATGGATTTCATTCTTCGTCGTCATCCAATTCCAGGTCTTCTGTGACCGCATCGCCTTCTTCTAGCCCGACGTACGTATCTCTAAGTGCCGATAAACCATCCCTCAGCTCGAGAGCATCGTCCTTCTCCAGCCCCATACCGCCCAGCACTTCAGCACCTCGCCGAACACAGTCGTCGATAACGGCGAAATAGGCCTTAAAGAGCTCCGAAGTGTGCGAAGTCGTATGCAATGACGAGAGCACGCGACTAGTGGGAGACCGCAGCTTGTCGCCTGTCGGGAGAGAGGGCGAGTCCAAAAATCTTGGGAAAGACGATGGGATGGGATAGCCAGGTGCGAAGACGGTGTACGGCGTGGGCCGCCGCGTTTCTGTCCATGCATCCAGTGTTCGCCGATCAGACGAAGAAAACCCTCTAGCGACGTAGATCCTGGCAAATTCCAAGCGTGAAGTCTGCCGTGCAGACGCGAGTCAGTCCCGTGCATGGTGCTAAGAGGGGGTACAGCAGGGTGGGGACGTACAGGGTCTTCTACGGCTTTCTTTCCATTACCGGATGTGAGCGAGAAATCGTGATACCTTCGCACCAGGTCCCGATCCGCTTGAGGGGGCGAGGGCAGTGGGAATGCGCCGGAAAGGTGCGCGAAGCGATTACTTCCACCCCAGTTCAAGACGCCGCAAAGACCCTCAAGATCTTGCATGGTGCCCTTCAGTCTGCGCGATCAGAATTAGCCAATATTGCAGCTACTTCGGCCCGTGCTGACACAAATAGGCCTACCGGAGAGGTAGGGTGGCGCTCTCGACGTGGGTCGAGAGGACTGCCGACGTTTGAAAGGGGCTTCGGAACTGGGGAGTGTCAGCACAGCACCGGAGAAAATACCCGAAGACGCGGACATTTAGTTCTATCCCGTCCAACCACGCTCCAGCTACCCAGGTTTCAGGCGCCTGAACCGGCACGGTCAAGGTGGCCAGCGACGCGAGAGCGTGCAAGTAGAGCGCGTCGTTGACGACCACACGCAGACCCGCGTCCTACCATGACGGATTCAATGAATACCGGAATATGCCGTACAGTCAATAGACTCACATCGTCGGCGCCGACGGAAAAGGGAAGGCTGTGCGATAAAATCGGGAACACGAGGCATGAGAGCTTAGGGAACTCGTCCCGATATGCGGTCAGGAACGAACTCGTGAAGCCACCGAAAGTAGACGTGTCGTTCATAACTTGGATTCCCTGCCAAGAGTATTGTGTTGCTGCTCGCAGGTACGGTAAGCACGCGATGTTATGGGGCTTACCTGCAAGTTGTCGCACTCCTCAACAAACAGTCGGAAGGACTCTTCCATGAGGTCGGTGTCCTATGTGGTTCGTCAGTGCTGAAAGGCCGTGTTCCGTGAGAGAGACATACGGCATTATGCCGCTCGAAGGTCTCCTTGCTCCAAAGCCAGTTGCCCTCGGTGCTCTCCCAGTCAGGCGTGTCTGGGAGCCTCTGCGACGACCGCGGGTGTAGGAAAACACGACTGTAGTCGGACCAGAAGCGAACGTCAGGGTCTGCTGCTTGGGGTCCAACCTTAAGCTTGTCATCATTATTTGCGGTATGTCTGTCATCCGCAGCTTCGTGCTCAAGTAGCGTGTGGTAGTCACTTGGTGGGATTGGTTCTTGACGATATTCTACCACTCCGCCGCTCCTGCAAAAAATCGCCCTCTCTAGATGCCTGCATAGGCAGTGAATAAAACGAACTGACCACAGAGATTGCTCTTGTGGATTGTCATCTTCTGAGTTGTAGAGGCCACTGGTACTTGCGATTGTGCCGAAGTTAGCTGCACTCCCACGTCAGTAAGCACTAAGTACCTACAGTCTAGGCTGAGCAACACAGACACCTACATCTTCGATCAAAGAGAAGCAATCTCGGAGAGTACGTCGATTCCCCCTTACACGAACTGTTATCACACAGTCCGACAGTTCGATGATCAGAACGGGTAGGGGCGTACTTTCAGGGTAGATCCCTCTCTGAACGATACATCGTGGTCGATTTCTGATTGCTCATCCTCGCCGTATGTGAAGTATGCGTCCTGTGTGTTCCAAAAGTGTGTTCCAATGTAGTTGGCGAACTGGCCGGCCTGGACGTAGACGATCTCCTTCATGGTCGCGGTGTCAGTCCACTTTCACAGGCTCGACGCAACTTGCTCTCGACCATCACGGTGACGCTGGCGGCCGCCACCGTATGTTCCGCTACTATGACTCTACTCGCGCGACGACTGCATCCTCTCTCTACGCTGTTTATTTACGTTGAGTCGGGGAAACCTAGGATCGGCTGAAGCTCGGATATGGGGCGGGTTCTGAGATAGCAGGGCGTCGGAGCCCGCCGTCAACGAAGCGGACGCTGCGTGTCGGCTTACCCACACATGGTACTTAGCTCTTCAGAACGTGCTCTGCAACGATCTCCGCTCTATATTACAGACCGCAAGCTCATGAGACGGCTGGCCTCAAAAGGTGTGTCACGGGTTCCTACCTGGTCGCACTACACTCCCGCGTTTGAGTCGGCGTGCGTGTTGACACGGTTTCTCTTCGTTTGCAGGCACTGCCGACTGGGACGTGAACGCTGGCCGATCCACTCCGCATCGCCTGGAATCAAACTCTACATCAGGGCCGCGAGTAATGCCTCCGGAACTGACGGACAGGATCGTCGACTTTCTACATGACGATCAAGCCGCGCTAAAGAGTTGCGGCCTGACTTGTCGTTCCTGGCTCGCCGCCGTACGCTACCATCTCTACTATGCTATAAATCTCGAGAACATCCGCCTGTTCTGCGCGTTCTCGAGCTTGCTGAATCGCACGCCCAGTCTTGGGCGGTATGTACGGGAGATGAATTTAGCGATGACGGAGGAATTGCAGGAAAGCGACGTTCTATCCACGATCGTTGTTCACCTGGGTCGAGTCAGGAGACTTGCCCTGAGTGGAGACATCCTGAAGGTTGACCAGGCCATTTTCAAGCGCTTCGGACCCGTGCAGGAGCTGGCGCTCAGCTTGTCTTCCTGCAGGATCAGTGATGTTGCCGCCCTATTCCTCGCATTTCCTGGCATCAGCGACTTGTCCATCAAGAACACCAAGTACCTATATGGTCCCTTCGACCATGTGCCCATGCTACCTGTCAAACGGCTGGAATTGCAGCCAGCCTTAAATCCTGGCCTATTACCTCCGTCGTCACCAATGCTCGAGTCGTTGGTGTTGTCCATCCGACGAGTCGAAGACTTGGTGACCTTGAGTCACATACTTCGTACGGCCATACGACAGCTGAAGCAGCTGGATCTGCAAATGCATATTCCTGTGGCAGGTGAGAGGCGGGCATCTACTGTGCTGACCAGTACTTATTTGGCTGGGGCAGAATACCAGGAAACTTCGCTATTTCTCGACAGTCTACGCAAATGTCCACAGTCCCTCACTGCCATCCGACTCTACACCAAGTCGGTGACTTGTCTGGCGGGCATATTGACCCGAATCGACCCGACATACTTGCAAGATGTCACGATGGACGTCGCAGTCGGCAGTATGTACGGCCTGAAAACCCTGTCCGGAGCACTCGCCAAAACCAGATTTCGGCACGCATCGAGGATCGTGATCACGTTGCGGTGCTCTCGGCTGCTGATCTACTGCCCTCGGGACGAAGAGTTGACCAAGACGTTGTTGGAGGTAGCTCTCCATGAGGCCCACTTACGGAGAGCACTATCCGTATATATCATTTAAAAATACTGTCTAAGCAGGACCACAACTGCTGTACGTCCCACACTTCGTAGTGGCTGCAGAAGTACTAATCCTCCTGGTCGTAGGCTATACCTGTTTATTTTACCTTGGCTTCGACAGCACACTTTTCCTACGGCGTTCTCGTATTATATTGTTGATTGTGGTTTCGGCTGTCTAGCTGTTCATTGTGATGATGTTTGGCATCGTGCAACCTCTAGACAACTTTCACAGGATACCAAGTATTATAGTTCAAAATCTCTTCCACCGTCGAGTAATGCCTTCGTCTGTACATATTGTAGAGAAGCATTCGGACTACGGAATTTTGTGATCAGTGGAGTGGAGTAAATGTTAAAGAGGTCCGCGCCCTTCTTGGTCAGTCGGGCCGGGAATGCCGGACCGATCC